TCATCTTGTATAGCTGCCTATGTATTCAGAGGGAAGGTTTACAAGTTTAACAAAGTGCTTTGAGATTTAATCAAAAACTGGTACATAATGAAAATATTATTGAAGTAGCATTCCCAACCATAAATTTAAAATTATATTTGTATATTATAGTTACCTTACCTATCTTAGAAGTAAGGAAATGCAAAATGAAAATAGATCTCTATCGTTTTACTTTATTCTACAGTTAATTGTTAATTATAGTCATTTTATTAAAGCAATAAATCTGAAAGAGGGAATGTAATTTCTCAAAAGAAGTAATATCCTTGAATCATCTCTAAAATATATTTATTTTCTTTAAATACTTCGCTAAATCCTTACATCACATTTGAACTAACAGGTGAAGCCCTGATAAAAATTATATGGAACAAAAATTTAAAAATTTAGATTTGAATAAAATAAGGCAAAAAGGCTGATGATGAAGTTTAAACCTTAACTAGTTAAACAACCAAAAAATATATTTCTATCAACTTTATGACAGTGAAGTAGAGCTTACTTACAAATCTAAAGGCTTCAATTTTGAATATAATTAAGAATCTAACTCCTTGATAGCTAAAAGTTAATTTATTTATAAATTGTTAATCAAATTTTTAATGATAAATTTCAACCATTTAATTCACATTATTATTTTTCATATAGATTATTTTTATATTTAAATCGTCTACTCATTTCAAATTTTAAAATTTAAATTCATAGCAACTAGAAATTTGCAGTATGGTTTTGCAAACATGTTTTTACCACAACACAAGAGAAAGAGTCTGAAAATGCAAAAATACTTCTGAAACAGCTTGGGTTATTCTACAACTGTTGTTTATCAGCTTTATTTTAACATACACTCTTGATTATTTGATATTAAAATATTAACGATTCTGAATCACAGATATTTATTGTGTTTAAATATTTAGAATCGATTTATTTTGATAAAATTTCCTATTCATTGAACAAAGGCTTCACTTATATTTCACTTGGTTTTTTAAAGAATAGCAGGCAAGAGATTATAGTAAAAAGTATGCTGCTCTTAAAGTAAGTTGTCAAACTGAAATTTGGAAGTAGAAACATAAACATTATGCTTTCTCAAATCTCTTTGTTTTTTTCAGAGCTATGAAAACACTTCAATTAGAATACAAAAGTTAGCTCAGTATATTTTCTTAGAACCCGCCATTTTAAGTTAGCAGGTTATTTCTAATTTAAACTACGACCTAATGTTAATTTTGGATAATTTTTCATTTGTATAATTTATTTTTTAATAATCATATTGTCACTTAAGCATTCTTTAATTTTATTTTTTTTCATTATTAATATAAACTGCTCTTGTATTAATAATGAATAGAATATAAATGTTTAAATCTATCAAGTGCGACTAGTTTATCAAACATGTCTATAATAACTTTTGAGAGTTTTTATTATTATTATATTCTTGAGTTGTTTAATAACTTTTTCATTATTAATCTCTCAACATGCTCAACTCCCAAATTTTATTGGCTCTTTTACAATAACATTAAATATACTCTATGCAAAGTTTAAATTAAAATTAAAAAAATAGATATAGCTATTCATTCTAATTTTAAACTATTATGAATACTGTATGGTATATAGCAAAGCTATCATTATCATTACGCTCAATAATGTATACTAGTTCTTATACAGACTAATCCTGATAGTACAACAATAGTGTTATTCTTACTTTCTGTCTTGAATTGGATGCTATAATGCATTAAGTTTAACTCAGAACCTATTGAAATAATATTTAGGTTTAACTTTCCTGAGTTAAACTCATTCTTGGTTACATTACAGTTCAGACTTTTTTAATCATTAGCATCCTTTGAACCTTGATATTGATTATGTTTATTAGATTTGAATCTAATAATATATAGTACCTTACATTGAACATCCAATTAATATTATTATCTTATCCATTAGTAGGTGTTTAAAGTTTTAATATTAGAATCAGATTCAAATATTAGACTTAGATACATCAGAAAGTATAATAACAAATTTTTGATTGTTAGGAAGATTTATACTTAACATATCATTTTTCAGCGTCTTGAGTTTGAATCTATGCT